GTATTACAAGTACAATATACGATAATACTGTATTATTATAGCAGGCACCAAGTCGAGGTAAAAAATGTTAAACAGTGGAATTGATAGGTTCCCATAAAAAGATAGACATCTCGTGGCTATTCACCGTTTTTCGCACCAGCCCTAAACCGATCATAAACCCATACGGGTACCTACATATAGCAACTTTTTGTCCAGCCCTTGAAGCGGCTTATAAATTACATTTATCCATTCCGAATGTTATAGAATTCTTTGCAGTTTAATATTTTGACCAGGAAACTCGAATTTAGTTTGATCGTTGAAAAAAATCAATTTTCTAAACTTATTTGCGCGTATACGACATTATGACGTTTTGTAATCTACCGTTACTACACCCAGTGACGTGTATAGGTGGGGGAGGGTTTATTTAAATTTCAACGTAGATCACAACAATAATATAGTATTATACGGCCTATATATTTAATTCAATTAACGCAACGCATTCACACTAAAAATACAATTAAGTGACCAAAATTGTGGATAAACATTAAACGCGCATAATAATATATTGTATTTCAGGTACCTACGTTGGGTGTCGAATTTGGTATATAAATTATTATAAATGAATAAGCATAAAACGCGTTTAAATATTTTTGTACATTAATTCATGTAGTACTTTATTATAATAATACTTAATCGTGTAGATGATAATAATATAATAGTTTTTTAGAATATTATTATGTTTGGTAAATGGTAGATTAGTAGATGCACGCTATAAATTAATGATGGCAGGTACAAAATTCACGGTACATATACAACATTATAAATTAATATAATATCATCATTGTTGTCCACGTCACGCCCCGCCCACACTTATCTATGTGGTATTTAACACGGTCGGATCGCGTATTGATGTTTCAGAAGCACAAGCGAGAGAGCTCGCCGGACTCGATAGGCGAACCAATCAACGAGGAGGAGCTGATCGAAGTGCAGATGAAACAGCGTTACACGTCGGCGGCCCCGGCGCCCGGCGGCGGCAAGTCGAGCAACTCGCTCGACTACAACAGCTGCGACATGCCGTCCGCGTCGGCCGGCCACAAGTCGTCGGCCGCGGGGTCGCCGTCCTCGGCGTCCG